TGAACAGATAGGGTGAATACAGCTTTGTATATGTCATATAATGCTTTATATTTTATTTAACTAATCAATTTGGCAAATAAACAGTAACCATATATCACAATTTCCATAAACACTTTGTGTTTAAATTTTTTCTCTAAATAAGTTATGTTAGAATGTTTAAACTGAGGAAATCAGCAATACAATATATTTGAACATTTGGCCATAAATTGAACTTTGGATGGTTCAGCAGGGACTGGCTGAATTTTGATCAAGTTTGAACATCCCTGTTCAAAGAAATTGACTGTACAATCAACTTTTGTTGAAGGGTCATGCTGGATTGGACTGTAAAAAATAGTTTTGCTTACCTATACACTAGCAGCTATTATCACCTACAAAGTAGTCCCCTTGTGAAGTGATGCACTTTTCTAGAGCGACTGTGCCACCATTGGAAACATGACTGGAATTTGTTTTCCAAAATACTATGCAGTATCTGTCTTGGCACACTGGATGTCCGGAAAGTCATCAATTCCGAATACAACCAAAGGTCTCAGGGTGCTAAGTAAGGGGAATAAGGTGGTTCGCCACGTTTTGGAATGGATTTCTGGGCCAGGAACTCACAAACCGTTAACGTATCATGTGCAGGAGCTTTGTCAGGGGGAAGAATCCACTTGTGAGGCCAGAAATCCAATCGTTTCCTCTGAACGGATTCCCATGACCTTTTCTGAATTTCCAAGAAACAATGCTGGTTGACGGTTCTGGCATAATCGTGGACATCATCCCACCCCTCCTTAAACCTCCTATGTCATTCAGAAACACTTGATTTATTCATGGAATGTTCACCATAAGCCTTTTGTAACAGAGCTTGTTTTATTCTCTTTTTTGCCAATTTTCATGCCAAAGTTCATGTTTTCATGCTGCTCTAGATTCCTGTCACTCATTTTCCACCAACAGCACAACACACATATGTGTTATTTCTTCTACTATTCCGTAAAGACTGAGCTGACTGGTCTGTGACCCAGGTGACTGCAAGTCAGAACATGTCAGCACACGCTCAAATGTGATTGGCTGTGTGACTCACCATTATAGTGCTATGCTGTGGGAATTCTGAGAAGTACATAGTTAGTCTAGCTGAAAAAAGACAAAAATCCATCCAGTTCAACCATTAAAAAAAAAAAAAGTTATAATCCTATACCCACAGTTGATCCAGAGGAAGGCAAAAAAAACACAGCAAAGCATGATCCAATTTGCTCCTGCAGGGAAAAAAATTCCTTCCTGATCCCCCAAAGGGCAATCGGATATTCTCTGGATCAACTTTACCTATAAATGTTAGTATCCAGTTATATTCTGTGTATGTAAGAAAGAATCCAGGCCTTTTTTAAAGCAATCCACTGAGCTGGCCAGAACCAACTCTTGAGGGAGTCTATTCCACATTTTCACAGCTCTCACTGTGAAGAAACCTTTCCATGTTTGGAGATTACATTTCTTTTCTTCCAGACATAAAGAGTTCCCCCTTGTCCTCTGTGATGACCTCAGGATGAATAGCTCTACACCGAGTTCACTATATGAACCACTGATGTATTTATACATGTTGATCATATTCCCCCTTAATCTCCTCTTTTAAAGTAATATTAAAGGCATGTTATACTTACCTGCTCTGTGCAATGGTTTAGCGAAGAGCAGTCCCAATTGTTCGCTTCACGAGTCCCCCTGCCAGCACTCCTGGCTCCTCCCCCCTGCAGAGTGCCCCCATAGCAAGTCGCTTGCTATAGGGCAACACATGCATGCTTGCTCCTGAGCCCTGCTCTGTGAGTCCATGTGTAGTCCCCCTAACATTGGGATGCTTGGTCAGAGATGACACATCTCTATAAATCTCAGTGCCTATGCAATTCTTAGTGTTCATAAATGTCTGACATAGATTAACCCCTGCTGTGGCGTCTTTCTTTGTGACTGGCTACAAAGTTACCATACTGCAGCATGATCACTGGGTAAAATGCTTCACCCTCTCTGTAGCAGATTGATGAAATAATCTCACTCCTAACAAAGTTAATGGATTAGCTTTTTAATGATGAAAGGTGCAGCTTCAAATAAAAGATACTGCTGCTGTATATTATGAGAGGTCCACTGTAAACCATATGCCATATTCAATGCCAGGACAAGGTCATCCAGTGTCAGGGCAAAGATGCCAAACTGTGAACTCCCCCCTTCCCATGTGGAGTCAGGACAGAGTGGGGGTGGGGTTAATAGCGACAAAACATAAATAAAATATGAGTTTAATAGTGGCACACAATCTATCCCCACAATGAAATATTGAGCTAAAAGAGATTTTATAAATAAATACTCCAGTATCATTGTGAGGAAGAAATACCCGTGTTGATGGTGTCACCTAAAGAAACGGATCTCTCTGTGTCAGTGGTGTCACTGGGAGGAAAAATGTCCCTGCATTGGTGGAGTCTGAGGAGGACTGATTTGGTAGCAGTATGAAGGGCAGAGGGAGCTTGGAGGGTGGGAGCTCTGTGTGGTGCTTTGCAGGGCCTGTTCACACTATGTGCAGTTACCTGCATTTGTCCTCATGGATAAACACAGGCAATTGCAACAACAGATAAAAAAAACAAATAGTTTTCTGTGGGTCATGTTCACACTAGAACGTGGTGTTTCTCTGCATGCCAGAGATGCACAATATTATACAACTGGTTTGCATAATATATCTCATCTCACTGGATGGCACCACATGTTGCTGCACAGCAAGTGCAATGCACCACCCTGCTGGGATGTGACATAAATGAAATGTCACTTAGTGCAGTTCCTATAAAGTTTACTTGATGATAAAATGGGCATGACACATCAATCTGATACATGTCAACGCAGTGCAAAACAAACTGTTGCCCACACACAAACCGCTCCAGTTTAGTGTGTGGACAACTGCCAATAGATCCTAATTAAGGGGCCCTGTGTGGCTCTGAGGGAGAGAGAAGGGAGCTCTGGGAACAACATTTTCTGTCTATTGTCATTCTAAAAACCAGGTTTTTTGTGACATATCAGCAACTATCTACATATATGACTACATGGCTTACGTAGTGATATCCCCGAAGCAGCTGCTTGAATGTTTTCCACGGGCTTTCCCTTTCTTCACTCCGCAGCCAGGCACACACACACTTTTTGACTCATTTTCTTCAATGACCAGTCTAGGCGATGTTTTGGTTCTGGAGTTTTATTGTAAAATTGGTGATAGGGATGGGGAATTGTAGTAGGATACTCTGAAAACAGAACTATTCACACTGAGGACATCTAGCTGATCTCTTGAACACTTATGAAGTCTTGGCTGAGAGTAGATAGCAGACGTCTCTTGTAACATATAGCAGCAGGTAGTTTTAGGAGTGAGCAAAGTTCTGTTTTGCAGTAGTAGTACTTACAGGGCTGAGCTCCTCAGGTATAAGCCAGTTACAACAGACTGCGACAGCCCAAAGGTAACATAGCTGAGGAAAGTCCCTTTGCAGTAGAAACACTTGGACAAGCTCTTCAGAACACTAGCCAGTGTTCCCTTTTTCCAGACCCAAATTCCTCAATGTCAATACTCACAAGGCCTAAGGACAGAATGGTTGCCTCCTCCCAATCTTCCAAGCAACTCTCTCCAGTGATACCAGACAGAGCTTTGCAAGACAGGTCCCCTCAGTCAGCTTACTGAAGAACTAGGGTCATTCTCTCTAACTTCAGGCCCTCGGGTTGACCCACCTGAGGTCGCATGGCAGGAAGTACAAGGCAAGGCAGCCAGCCTCCATGTGCTCTCAGAACATAAATACAACTCCCAGCATGCAATGGGACTGCCTTCCACTGCAATTGGCCAGGGCTGTATGCATATTAATGCTGTTAATTTGCCTAGCCCCTACCCATGTTTTGGAAGGCTTTCAGACCTTCTTGACGGTGGGCAGAACTAAGACCAACTCAAACAGCAGCAGAGCAGCATGAGCACACCTAACTAATCAATCACTGCACTCTGTTAAGCAGAATACTACACTGAATTTACCTGACAGCCTTTCTGGTAAGCAGAGAAACACAGCTATGCTTAACCACTAGGGGACAGCCCACAGTACATTTACTGCGGCAAAGCGGCCCCTGTAGGCAGGATCACGTTTATAAATTTCTTCTCTTTCATTCAGTCCACAGGCTGCATACAAAAAAAAAAAAAAGAACATAGCATATACAGTAATACCTCGGTTTACGAATGCCTCTGTTAACAGAATTTTCAGTTTACAAATGAAAATCCATTGAAAATAATGCCTCGGTTTACAAATTTTTTACAAATGTTTTTCACAATACGAAGTGTTTGTCAGTGCTGATTTTTAAATGCAATTGCCATCTTTTTTTTTCTTCACTATAACTCACAACATTAGCTATCACTTTCCGGAGAGCTAAAGGGTACTTTATATCTTTTAAGAAACTGAAAGGAAACATTTTTTCTTTTAACTTGGGGAAATAAACTAAAAGAAACTTTCTCTCATTTAGTTGGAGGGGGAAAGTGACTGCTGAATTTCTGAACTGCTGTATAGTGAAAAAAAAAAAGGTACCGTATTTTTCGCTCCATAAGACGCACTTTTTTCCCCCCAAAAAGGGGGGGAAAAGGCAGTACGTCTTATGGAGTGAATGTAAAGCAGCCGGTCCGGTATTTCTGCTGCCACCCATGTCAGAATATCGGGCCGGCCGCTCAGCTCTTCTCTCCTGCAAGACCTTACCAGTTCCTCGCTCCAGCGCTGCAGTCTTCCAGCGGCGGCTTCTGTGACAGCCGAGTGCCCAATGCGCATGCGTGAGAAGCGCTGCGCTTCGTGAATGGTCGGTGTCTTCTGGGACACGACAGGTCCCAGAAGGCTCCGGGCCATTCACAAAGCGCAGCGCTTCTTGCGCATGCACAGTGGGCACCCGGCTGTCACAGAACCCGCCGCGGGAAGAAGAAGGAAGGACAACTCCTCGGAAGTGGGAGCGGGTACCTGCCAAATTCAGGTACCCGCTCCCCCTCTCTCCCCAAAAGGTCCACAGTCTCTGGTAATCTCCTTTACTGTCTGCAGTCTCTGGTCATCCCCTGCACTGTCCACAGTCTCTGGTCATCCCCTGTACTGTGTCCGCAGTCTCTGGTCATCCCCTGTACTGTGTCCGCAGTCTCCGGTCATCCCCTGTACTGTGTCCGCAAGTCTCCGGTCATTCCCTGTACTGTGTCCGCAGTCTCCGGTCATCCCCTGTACTGTGTCCGCAGTCTCCGGTCATCCCCTGTACTGTGTCCGCAGTCTCCGGTCATCCCCTGTACTGTGTCCGCAGTCTCCGGCCATCTCCTGTACTGTGTCCGCAGTCTCCGGTCATCCCCTGTACTGTGTCCGCAGTCTCCGGTCATCTCCTGTACTGTGTCCGCAGTCTCCGGTCATCTCCTGTACTGTGTCCGCAGTCTCCGGTCATCTCCTGTACTGTGTACGCAGTCTCCGGTCATCTCCTGTACTGTGTCCGCAGTCTCCGGTCATCTCCTGTACTGTGTCTGCAGTCTCCGGTCATCTCCTGTACTGTGTCCGCAGTCTCCGGTCATCCCCTGTACTGTGTCCGCAGTCTCCGGTCATCCCCTGTACTGTGTCCGCAGTCTCCGGTCATCCCCTGTACTGTGTCCGCAGTCTCCGGTCATCCCCTGTACTGTGTCCGCAGTCTCCGGTCATCCCCTGTACTGTGTCCGCAGTCTCTGGTCATCCCCTGTACTGTGTCCGCAGTCTCTGGTCATCCCCTGTACTGTGTCCGCAGTCTCTGGTCATCCCCTGTACTGTGTCCGCAGTCTCTGGTCATCCCCTGTACTGTCCGCAGTCTCTGGTCATCCCCTGTACTGTCCGCAGTCTCTGGTCATCTCCTGTACTATGTCCGCAGTCTCTGGTCATCCCCTGTAATATGTCTGCACTCTCTGGTCATCTCCTGTACTGTGTCCGCAATCTCTGGTCATCTCCTGTACTGTGTCCGCAGTCTCTGGCCATCTCCTGTACTGTGTCCGCAGTCTCTGGTCATCCCCTGTACTGTGTCTGCAGTCCATTGGTTCAGAATATTTTTTTTCCTGTTTTTCTCCTCTAAAACCTAGGCGCGTCTTATGGTCAGGTGCGTCTTATGGAGCGAAAAATAGGGTAATTACATTTAAAAACTGGCACCTGACAGCTGAATGTAAAAAGAATTGTCACCGATTACAATTTTTTTTATTATTGCCAGCAATTCTTTTACATTCAGCTGTCAGTGGGGAACCCCGCTGACAGCTGAAACATTAACACATGGTTGTTATTACTGAAATACCGCATGAGTTAATAAAATAAATCATGCAGTATTTTAGTAGCGTTTACTGTTTTTCTGACCTTCTGAAAGGATTAATTGGTTTTCAATGCATTCCTATGGGAAACAGTGTTTCGGTTTACGAATTTTTCGCTATACGAAATGTCCTGCAAAATGAATTAAATTCATGAACCGAGATACTGGTACATCACTGGACTTTGAATGGTTATTCCAGGATAATGCCTACAGCTGCAGGCAACATCCTGGTATTGTTTTTTTTCAGCTGGCGATCGGCTCTCATGTAAAAGCAATCCTAGTGGCTAATTAGCTGCAAGATTGCTTTTACAAGCAGCGGGAGACGATGACCCCCTCCCCCACTGCCTTCCATGGCCTTCTGGGGCAGTCCCGTGCCATCGGGGCAACCTGAGAATGTAGCCGGTTTTTCTGCCAGCTGACCATAGAGCTGATTGGAGACCAGAATGGTGCCAATCATCTCTATAGCCTAAGAAATCAGAAGCTACGAGCATTACATCACTTCAGTTTCACAGGATATAAACAGCGCATTTTGTAAATTGGGAAAGCATCTGATCACACCGATCTTGGTTTGATTAGATAATGTAAGGGCAGAGGAGATATCTAGAGTCTGATAGAACCCAGATTTCTCAAAAAAGAATATATGACAATGCCCAATGAAGTTATAGGGGATATTTGCATTCGCTGTGATAGCATTAAAAGTGATAAAAAAAAAATGAAGGAGACAGTGTAAAAATAATTAAAAAAAATCAAAATAACTTTAAAAAACAAAACCCTCCCCCCTGCGCACATCTGCGTTCGTGAGTGTTAACCCTGTGCCAGTATTGAAACAGCGGTTGCAGCATACATGTGAGGTATTGCCACGAACGTCAGATAAAGGGCAGTAATTCTAACACTAGACCTCCTCTGTAAATGTAAAATGGTAGCTTGTAAAGGCTTTTAAATTGTTGCCTATGGATATTAAAAATGTAAGCAGTTTGACGCCATTGCACGGGGCATGCGCAGTTTTAAAGCATGTCATGTTTGGTATCTATTTACTCGGCATACCATCATCTTTTATATCTTACCAAATAATTGGCCAATATTTTGTGTTTTTGTGCATTAAAAGTAAAAAAAATTTGTATTTTTTTTTTTAAATTGCGTTTGAAAAATCGCTGCGTCAGTACTATGTGACATAACAAATTGCAGCACCCACCATTTTATTAACTAGGGTGTCTGCTTTAAAAAAATATATAATGTTTGGGGTTAAATTAATTTCCTAGCAAAAAATATAGATTTTTTTCATGTGAACAAAAAGTGTCAGAAAATGCTTGGTGAGTGATGTGTGGCATAAGCTTCTAAAGCTGGGCATACAATGCCCCCACCCCCCAAAACAACCCCTTTTTGGAAAGTAGACACCCAAAACGATTTTCTGAGAGGCATGTTGAATCAATAGAAGAATTCATTTTTTTTACCACAAGTTTTTGGAAAATGACAAACAAAATTTTTTTTTTTTTTACACAAAATTGTCACTTAAATGATTTACTGCTCACACATGCCATGGGTATATGTGGAATTACTCCCCAAAATACATTCTGCTACTTATCCTGAGTATGGGAGTACCACATGTGAGAGACATTTTGGCAATCTAGCCAAGTACAGGACCCCAAAATTCAATAAGCACCATCAGGCTTTTAAAGGGCTTTATTTCCTCTTTACACTTCCTGACTACCTATCACAGTTTCGGAGGCCCTAAAATACCAGGATAGCACCAATCCCCCCCCCCCCCAAATGACCACATTTTGGAAAGTAGACACCCCAAGGAATTTGATCAGCAGCATGGTGATTATTTTGCAGATCTTGTTTGTTGCCACAAGTTTTTGAAAATTAAAGAAAAAAAACCAAAAACATATTTTTTCTTTTTTTTTTATATTTCAAAACCTTGTGAGAAAAAGTTAGATCTGAAAAATACTCACATTGCCTCTTTTTAAATTCCTTGGTGTGTCTACTTCCCAAAAAGGGGTAATTTGGGGGGGGGGGGTGCTATCCTGGCATTTCAGGGCCTTCGAAACTGTGATAGATAGTGATGAATTGAAATGAGAAAGTTACGCACCTTCAGGCTTTCAAAGTGGTCATTGGATTTCAGGCTCCTGTATATGGCTAGGCTCCCAAAAAGTCTCACACATGTGGTACCCCCATACTCGGTAAAAGTAGCAAAATGTATTTTGGGGTGTAATTCCACATATACCCATGGCTTGTGTGAGAAATAAATAATTTAAATTACAACTTTGTGTAAGGAAACAAAAAGGTTTTGGTCGTTTTCCGGAAACTTGTGGAAAAAAAATAAATCTTCTATAGACTCAATATGCCTCTCAGAAGATAGCTTAGGGTGTGTACTTTCCGAAAAGGGGTCATTTGGGGGTGTTTGTACTATCCTGGTACTTTAGCACCTCAAGAAATAAGATGGGCAGTCAGAAAGTAAAAGCTGTGTAAATTCCATCATCTATACCATAGTTTGTAGATGCTATAACTTTCACACAAAGCAATCAATATACACTTATTGGGATTTTTTTTTTAACCAAAAACTTGTAGCAGAATACATTTTGGCCTAAATTTATGATGAAATTTTTAGTTTTTTTGGATATTTTTTATGACAGAAATGAGAAAACATTGCTTTTTTTCAAACAAATTTTTTTTTTCAAAACTTTTTTTGTTTATAGCGCCAAAAATAAAAAGTGCACAGGTGATCAAATACCACCAAAAGACAGCTCTATTTGTGTGAAAAAAAGTACATAAATTTCATTTACCACGCAATTGTCAGTTAAACTAGAGCAGCGCTGTATAGCAAAAAAATGGCGTAAATTGCAGTATCTATACCATAGTTTGTAGACGCTATAACTGTCACACAAAGCAATCAATACACACTTATTGAGATTTTTTACCAAAAACATCTATCAGAATAAATTTTGGCCTAGTTTTATAACTAACTGTGAGTTTATTATATATTTTTTATAGCCGAAAGTAAAAAATGTCGCTTTTCTTCAAGAGCGAAAAATAAAAAAAGAGCACAGGTGATCAAATACCACCAAAAGAAAGCTCTATTTGTGTGAAAAAAAGGACATACGTTTTGTTTGGGTACAGCATTGCATGACCGTGCAATTATCAGTTGAATTAGTGCAGCACCGAGTAATAAAAAGAGGTCAGGTCATTAAGGGGGGTAAATCCTCTAGAGGGCAAGTGGTTAACCTAACTATACACATCCTAGCACTTGACTAGGAAGATGCTCCACTTATTATACTATACGTCTCTGTAGAAATATTTCAAACATTTGTAACTGAGCTTAAAGCATAACTTTGCATTTAGTAATATGTTACTCCTGTATTTAGGGTGTAACATGTAACATTAAACTATACACCTTTCTCTGCAATCCCCCCCCCCCCCCCACCATGATAGAGGGCAGGGGATGTAAAAAAGAGCATGGCTGTGCAGGGATCTGCCCACAAAGCCAGGTCATTTATTAACAGACTTCTGTGAATGAAGATGGTTTGCAGTTCTCAATTGACTGCGAGGGAGCTAGTGAGCACCCTCATAGTTCATTGACTCTTCCTGCACTTTAGTACCAGTATGTACAGGCGCTACAGCACATTTTTTACCTGAAAAAAAGTACATTTTTAATTTTTTTAAATAAACATAGCCTTTAAAGAAAAAGTGTAACTGAACAGCGCCAAAAATTCATATGTATTCAGTGACTTTCGTGATCTCATATACTGTAGTTCGTCACTGTTAGAGTGACCAGTAGTGTTAATATAGTGCTAGAGAAATTGTCCCAATTTTAAATATGGGAGATCAAATTATCTCCATTAATTGGTGCTCCATCCAGACTGTGGTGAAATGACCGGTATTATGTAAAGGATGTGCACTCACCAGATGCACAGTCAGTCTGCGCATTTAGAGACAATATTCTCTTATGGATACACTGAAGGCTCCTGTATGGATGGATCTGGTCTGGCCAGGTGTTCCCCTCACCGCTCACTCCTGCTGGCAATATGGCTCAGTCTCCCTTCTCATACAGCTCAGCTCCTTGGCCTTTTCCATCAGACCCTCATTAGGCTCCTCTGTACGCTCTCCCGGAACCTCAGCCTCCCGCACACAGCAATGTGATCCCAGCTCAGCCTGAAAACAATGAACTCCAGAACAACATCAACAAAACCAGCAGCTCCCCACCTCCAGCCTCCGGGCTGCTGGCCAATAGTGAACTAAAGGATATGAGAGTTCACAGGAGCTGGTTAGCATTTGTATACCAGAGTTATCTAGAGGGCTTACTAGGAAAGCTAAGTGGGTCTGGAGACCTGGAGGTGCATTAAGTGGATTAGGCTTTAATGTTTTTTTCTCTTACTTCAGGTTTGCTTTGGTGACGCGGTGTTTTACTATTGCTTTCAACTGGTGTGAACTAACAAACTGCAAACATGTATGCAAATAATACAGCGAATATACAGTAATTGCTATCTATACACGGTATATATTTGTATATTGTTATGTATGAGCACATAC